GAAGGCTTTTTAGGGAAAACCCCCCGTAAGATGTTAGCCAGAAGATACGGACATGGCATTCCAGTGTGCAGTAGCACATCCTAAATACCTGCTCATTTCTGCCAACGTGCGCTTCATGTTTTGATTACTGTCGTTACCTGCGGCGTTCCTGCCCACCTTGATAGTTGGTTTTGCCCAAACCAGCGAAACGTCCCCCTTAACCGCCAGCAAAGCTGCTGTTTGCCTACTGCCCTCCCTAACAAGCAAAGACGTGATGCTACAGAGCATTTCCCTGCAGAGAGAAATTTGCCAAAGAGCACACGCAAGACCACAAGTTAACTTTCACCTCTCCTGGTCTTTGTCTGAAAAAGCAACAAAGCGATTTTCTCATTTTATAGTGAATTATTTACATGAGAAATTTCATTTTTACATAGAAACGATTTTGATCAAGCCTCAAGATTGAACCGCTTGCATGACTAGACGCAAAGCTCAGTTAAGTGGTCCTTATATAGCAGTATGCAACGCGAGAAGGCTCGGTGACAAACGACACAAGGTTTGAAAATGCACAGAGGGACTCAGCTGTCACCCCTTTAAGTGGCTGCTTTATGCTGCTTCGGAAAAGATTAGAAAATACTGTTCTCCCACCTCTCCCAAATCTACAGAAGCCAAAGGTTTGGGAAGGTGCGTGTAATTCTGCCTGGATCCCCAAATGAACCTCTCCTTTCCCGGAGCAAAAGGCAGAGGAAGATGACTTTAACCTCCAGCATTAACAGATAAAGTAAAGGCCAAAGCCACAACCAGCCCCTCTCCAGCCCTACAGCCCCCACAGCAGCACCGATAACCAGAGGAGCCTGAGCCCCTCTCCTTTACCCTCTTGAGAGGGCAAAAGCGCAGGCAGCTCCCGCCATGTCATTGACACTCAGCGCTATCTATTCTGAGGCGAGCACCCTCAATCAAGCATTAGTCTACAAGAGATCAGCTCTTGAACGAGGACAGCTGGTTCAGAGCAGACAAGACAGAAAGGACATTGCTTAGGGAGACAAAGCACTCTGAAAGCTCTGAAGTCTCCTCCACACAGACTGAAGGTATACATCCCTGAGCTCATTCAAGCAGTGAAAATACTTTTGTTGGAACCTAACTTTCCTTGGCAGCCAGGCAACATCCTTCCAAAGGAAGACTTTTTTTTCCCCATTCTAAGTTACTAGCATGCATCTTCCCAGCTACAAAGATGGCCATATGGAGCGGCAGACGCCCCTCGCCTCAGGATGGAAGTGCAGAAGCCGTTGGATACTAAGTAAATATGATTACAGGTAATGCAAACATCATAGCCTGATGGGTTCGTTTGGTTTTGTTTGTTTGGGTTTTGTTGTTTTGGGTTGGTTTGGTTTTTTTTTTTTGTAAGTTATTAATGTTTAGCTGTGATGAACTTCAAATTCTAAGAAATGCTGGAAAAAAAAAAAAAACAAACCCTCCCTAAAACCTCTTCAACACTGTCATCCATGGCAGTCAGCATATTCCATGCTTCACTGCTAATCCCTCACAACAAAATTTTGCCTGCAAAGGACAAGTGAACCAGACCAAATGGCAGAAAAAGAGATGAGCCAAAAGTCAAGCCTATCATTGAAATACATTTAGTTATTATAAAAACTAAGCAGCATGTTTTCCTACATTCCAGTTAAAATAGCTCTTAAAAGGAGATGGTCACATATTCTCAAAACATGCCCCAGTGAAGCAGAGCATCGACTCTGCTGTTTTTCCTTCGCACATCTACTGTGGCTTCTGGCTCCTGGCAATTGCTAGAAGCTGGCAAAGGAGTCGCTATTCATCTCTTAGCATGGAGTTGGCAGAGATCAGCACAGCATGTGTTACACAAAACTGCACAAAACAACAGATTATGGAATAATCTGAATCTATAAAGTGTTTCTTATTTGTATTTATACTAATTTAAACAAGTAAGTTATTTTTATGAAGCTATCTAAAGCTGGACAGTTTTTATCCATACTGTTTCCTGAAGTATTAGAAACTACCAACATTTCCATATATGCAAAACTCCTTACAAACAAGATTATTATCAAAGGTGTGCTGTCTGCTCAGCAGGGATTTAAATCTTGCCTGCTGCTCCTGCAATAAGAAATGTAGTCTTTTCTCTTAGAAAATGAGTAGTTCACTGTATTTAGAACATCTTTGGATCAATTTGGAAACTATTTAATACATAAATATTTTTATTTAATCCATTTGTTTTCAAGTAAGAAAAAAAGTAGGGTTTTCATCTTAATATGGAAGAACATTTACTAAACAGATTTTCAGAGTACATTTACATTCAAGCAGTGCTGTCACCTAAGCAGTTCTGTAGCTGCCATCAGTATCCTCACCGACTCCACCGCTACCTCCGCCTTGCGATCGTACCCTTAATACCACTTGCAGTCTAGGAGAGCGCCGAGTTCTGGGAGCAGCGGAAAGGCAGAGTGGACAAAAACAGAAGATCATGGCGGCTGCTCGGGGAGAGGCAAGTGAAAGAAAAATCACTCCTCTAGACAATTTTGAGCTTCCAACACCTCCTTCACAAAACATGCAAGCGCAACGAATGTTTTAGAGTTAATTTCAAGATGTGTTACATGGTGTGGTATGCATAACGTCACCCTATGTCTTGTCAGGGACTTCCCGGGCAGTCATGCATGCGCACACGCTGTGTAGCAAGTATGACATGTCTGAGAAACGCAGGACCCACTGCACTTGCGTTGTCCATGTGGCCCGCACATGTGCGGTAAATCTGATGGCTCCCAAATGCTCGTACTTTCTGCATGCACAATAGTCAGTTGTCTAGAGGCCTGATGGGAACCGTAGCAGGGCCTGGTCAGCTGGCTGAAGTTCTGAAATTTGAAAGTTTATAAGCAAAAAAATAAGACCCCTTTAAGGAATCCAAACATATGGTACTCTGGTTCAAGCAACAAAAGACCATCACAGAACCTCGTACTGCAGGACTACCTGCACAACAGACCAAAGCCTCCACCATCACCAGCAGTAACTAGGAGGGTGGAGAGGAAATGAGCAATTTTGGTCGCTTCAAAGGAATCCAGCCCAGAATCTTATCGTTTAAGTCACAAGGCTCCCTGAACAGCTCTAAGAGGAGCTCTCAAGCACATCCACCACATTGCTTGATGCTTTGTCACATGATCAAGCTGACGTGTGCATTTTCAACATGTTAAGTTCAAACTCTGCCTAATTTTAAAGTCACTGATGCAATCATTTGGGAAGCAATGACATATACCAAGTTAAATAAA